ATAAAAAGAATGTATAAACATATAATAAATGTCTTAAAATAATTGTCGGACTGTGTACATTTCATAATGTGTGACGTCATAAGTAGGTGTAATAATCCCGATCAAGACATAGACCAAAACACATTCGGTAATCCAAAAGTATGCAGGCCGAATTTAATTATTCTAACAACAATTAACTTACATTTTCCACAAAAATTAACACACAAAAATTCTTCAATCAATGAAGGCGAAATGTCACACATACGGCTCTTAACATTACAAAAATTAAAAATTCCATACTCTGTTACAAAAATGAAAAAAACAATCATTTGTCAGTTAATTAAAATTAACAAAATAATTCTAAACGTAAAACGTTTGAATGCATGCAAAACCATAATCACAAAATTTTCAACTCATTAGCAGTCCAGAGGAATCACAGTGGGAACGCCCCATCACAAATTGCTGTCAGTCTTTTTTTTCAAAAACATCATTGCGTTGTGTAGGCAAATTCAGGCCTCCACGTGGCACATCATTTAACTTCCTCAAAGGTCCACATCAGAAAACTTTTTTACTGTTCAAATTTGCTTCTCCAGAAATCTTTCTTTTTCACGGCCAGATTTATTCCACAAAAAAATAAAAAAATAGACTGCCAGACGTACAACATTTGAATACACCCAAAAAGATTAAATGTGCCAATCAAAATGAAAAATAGATTTCAGCACTTTGTCAAAACTTTTGTAAAAAGACAAAAGAAAACAAAACAAAATCAGCCTCTCAAAATTGACATTGTCATATCAGTGTGTATACGTGAATATGGGTGTTCATCTTCCTTCCCATTTTTCCCAATTCGTCGGCTCTTCTCTCTGTCCATCAAATCCTGTTCGCTTAAAGTTTTTTTCCTCGTCTTTTTCATCATCACTTACTATTTTGGGTGGTTGAAGATGTGCGCGTATGTGTGGCAGTTGCAAAAAGTAATATTTTCTCACTTACAGACTGTCCAATATGTCTAGACAACTTCTTTTTTTTTTTTAGAGTCCTCTGTCGAAAATCATCTCCGAACATTTCCACATGTTCTAACCGACGTTGTGCGCTCAGCCCCATGTGGGGAGGTCCTGATCACTGCGCCAAATAAGCAAATATTTCACACCTCGCCTCTTCTGGGGTTCTCTTGAGCGACAGTCTTAATTATACACTGTTGTATATCTTCTCTCTCTTGTTTTCTCTCGGGCGGGTGTCGAAATATTTTTGGTTCCGCAAATGAAAGAGACATCAATAAATGCGAATTTGTATATGACCTATTTTATTAAGCACTACGTCGACGAGTATATTTTCTAATTAGCTAGTGGGGTTGCTATCCCACACCCCTGGGGAGAAGTTTCCAGACACGATATAACATGTCTACATTCTTCGACATGTAAAATTTAACTCAATGAAATCCCTATTTATATACAACATTCCACGTTAGTTTTAGCCAATCAAAAACGACTTCCTTTGTTTTCCTGTAGCTGACCTCAAAGGTTAAAATAAGGAATTCGTAGGTGAAATACAATTCCCTAAAAAATGATAGTTCGCTAAACTATTATTTAAAAATAAAGACTAGTATCCCATCGCATCCCATGTATACGTTATTTGGCTCTGTAAATATACTGTGAAATGTGCTATCTATTTGAGGTTGTATGACTTGGCGTAGAAGAGTCATAATGCAAGATTTTCTGTTGAAAACAAAAAACCGTGAGGAGGAAGCAAAAGTTATAATAAATTCTTCAAAAGGGTGAAAATCAAGGAAAGTAGAGAAAATGCTTTTCAAGAAAAGCTAGATCAGGTGATGGAGATAAGGAGTATACAAAATAGTAAATTTAACTTGAAGAAAGAAAAGATCGACTTATTAAATTAATTCACCTAAAAACAACCAACATCAAATGCTGTAAATAATAATACTAATACTACTGCTACTACTACTACTAATAATAATAATCTATTGTGCATGAAGACACTACATTAAAAAATCGGAATAACACCTACAGTCTGCGTTACTGGCCTTTGCAAATATTTTGCGAGGGGCACTATCTGACTGGTGTCGGACAACTTGATAGTGAACAGTCACAAGGCAAGATATATGGTTGAAAACGAAACATCCTGCAGAAAAAAGCCGGTAATAATAATAGGAAATCATATGAAGGTAAGTGCGAACATAACTGAAACCAAGGCCGTCTAAGAGTATTGGATTATATGATTATAAAATATTTTTGATGAGATCCTATCTACAAGATGACGTGTGACATTGACCATAAAATCTTATCATATCACGCACATTTGACTGTGGTGCATGTGCCTAGTATATTCTTATGAGACTTTAGTCATGTTCTTTACATTGGGCCATATAGCTGTCACTTTCATTGCATGCTACTTTCAATAATAATAATAATTGTGGGCCAATATCTGCACTGAAATATCTGCAATTTCTACGGAAAGGAAACCGCACGAAATTGCTATGAACACCAACCAGACCCGGTTACGGACATAGGACGTGTAACAATTTTATGGAACTTTATAATACCCACAGACAATCAATAAAATCTAATCACCCACATATCATGATTAGAGACCGCAAAGACAATATGTGCATTCTTATTGATATGGCAGTCCCTGCAGACTGAGATGTATCTTTGAAGATCTTCAAAAATCTAGCGAATTACAAGCAGTTTGAAATCGAACTCCCAAAAATGTCGCAAATGTGGATTTTGACAATTCCAGTTTTAGTTGGAGACGTCGGATTGATTGGAAAAGTTTACAGTCGACTCATAGAAAGGATTCCTGGTAGCTCATGCTTTAAAGAAATACAAACAAATTATTCTCACAAGTACAGCGTACACTTTACTAAGGGCTTTATCTATGTGAAATATGTGATTTTTATTTTCAAAATTGCTCAATCGAAAATGCCAGGATGCCATTTCTGACCTTAGGTCTGTCGTCCCGACCCTGAATGAAATGAATATACAGAAGACATCAAAGGAAATATAAATAATAACAGTCTGAAATATAGTGACATACAACTATTATTAATTTGCCAGAGATTTCAACAAGTAACTAAACATTTAGGCGATCGACTTATCTAACAAGATCAGATGGGTACTAATGCTTCCGAAGAGCATAAGAAAACATTCGAAGTTCTAGAATATAGATTATTTGTAACATTATATTCAAATGTCTTATTGAACACGGCTATAAGATGAAATTTGCTGTTATATAGGAATTACTTAGACCGGCAACTGCTACTGGTATGAACATTCAGTAATTAAAACAAATTTTCTATCGGTTCTCACGAAATGTGTAAGTCATCTTAGAAGCATTGTTCTGTTAGATCAATCGCAACTAGCATAGGTCTTCGCCTAAATATCATCAATTAGAAATCAAGATAAAAATACTTGTTTTTAATTAATGCTTCAATTTCAAAACGGTATGTCTGGAGAGATAATACAAATACATCTATGAAAACAGAAAAAAAAATAACAATAGCGAAGAACGTTTCAATTTCCAGTAACCTGATTGACAACAAAATGGCATGTCATTACCCTACATAAAATGAATTTTATCATATCCCAAGACAAAAGAATGCAGAATATCGAAAACAAAAATCGGAACAGTAGATATATTCAAATAATATTAAAATTAAAATTTCTACCTGAATTCAGATATTACTTTCGTAGACAATAACATAATTGATTAATACTTTTGTGAAGATGCATATCACTACAGGAATAGTCAATATAGAAAAGGAAATCGTATTGATATTACTGTTGGTTACCTCAGTAATAAAAAGAAAAAAAAACAACTTGTTTTTGCATAGCAAAAATCGAGAATAAAATTTGGCAACCAGATAAGTATATGCAGGTTGCGATGGGTGAATTGTCGCCATTTTATATTTTTAATTTCATGCATGCTTCTTGTTTGTTTTTTGTTATATACCGTACCTGTGAACACTAACGGGCTTGTCCCAATCCTCATACCTTGGACACTATTGCAAGTGGAGGTGCTGTCTATGTAGTCCACTACTAGCAGTGGTTTACCTACTTCACGCCGCTGGCGAGTAATGAATTTTGTTGATGTTACAAAGACTGCCATTTCATTTCCAACCTCAGTTTTGGTTATTCCTCATTCAGTAACGCTTTCTAGGTTACAATAGTTTTTGATTTTGTCGACTGCACATTATTTTTAGGGTCAAAAAATTTGTTTTTTTCAAAACAAACAAAATAAGGAGCACCAAGATGCAATTCGCCTCTCCAGAAATTTGAAAACGGTATGCTGCAATGCTTGGCATTCGCTCCTCAAGCTCCAATACGAACATTTCAGAATGTTTGAGCTTAAATCTGAGGACATTGTAGGGAATTTGGAAAGATTCCAATGTGTCTAATGGAGATTACCAAAGTGTTTTGGGCGATCACTGGAAGATGGCGACGTTATGCCTTCATTCATGTTTCCACTTTACCTCAGACTCAACACAGAGGAGGTAGTGCTGCCGTGGGTCAAGACAGTGGATGTTGGAAGGCCCTATGTTTGGCAACATGTCATTTCACCATAAATCACAAGCAGGAGAACCCAGTGATGGCTGTCAGATAATTTCTCCAACTACAGCATCAATTACATCTTCTGGCCACGTAACTCCCCAAACTGCAGCGCCTTGATTATTATATGTGGGACGCAGATGAGTGAGAGACCAACAAAACTCCGTGTAATACCAAAGATGCAGTGAAGGCAAGGATTATGCCAGCATTCATCAAATTGATCAAGAAGACCGCCCAGAAGAGATTCGAGAGATACTGAAATCGCCTGGAGGCCGTGGTTGACGTCAATTGCAATTCTTTTTAATATATTTACTCTTTAGTATTTAAGATACTTTGGTAAATATATCTGTTAAAATGAGATGTCAGTGTTATTTTCATTACTGCGCAATTTATTCATCGCATTCGGCATGTTAAATAGATAGGGTTAAAAAACACTAGAAGCGTGGGGTAGAAAGAAAACTAGGAGATAATGTGGTGAAAAAGACTAGGAGAGAGAGAGAGTGGGAGAGAAAGATGAGAAGAGGTGGTGAGAGAAGCTAGAAGGGAAAGGCTAGGAGAGGTGTGGAGAGAAAGGCTAGCAGAGGTGGTGAGAGAAAGGCTAGGTGAAGTGGTGAGAGAAAGGCTAGGAGAGGTGGTGAGAGAAAGGCTAGGAGAGGTGGTGAGAGAAAGGCTAGGAGAGGTGGTGAGAGAAAGGCTAGAAGTGTGGAGAGAGAAAGACTAGGAGAGATAGTGGGAGAGAAAGACTAGAAGAGGTGGGAAGAGAGACTAGGAGAGTCACGTTTGGAAAAACAGAAATATATGATAGGAGAAGGATTTTTAGGTCCTGTTCAAAATCATGGGAAATGTACCTAAAATAAAAAAACACAATTTTTTGCACTGAATTGCAGGAATTCAAAAAACATAAAAATCGGTTGCACTTAGCCAGAATATATTTTTTAAAAGTTGTGAAAGTTAATAAATCTTTTCAGGTAAAGAAAAGAAATTTAGATCAAACTAATGCGGCAATTACAAAATGAAAATGAAAATTAGATTGTGGGGATACACAAAATCCATGAATGTCAAATATTTTATTTAAATTTGATGTTAAACGAAATAAAGGTCCGAAAATGAATTTTAGGTAAGGGTTAAAGACTAAGAGGCACAGCTTACGCAGATATGTGTAGAAGATAACGGTTATTCCTAGACATGAACGGGTTAAGAACGTGGCGATCGTGGAAGCGACTGAAGTCGGTTTGACAAGGCAGTGGTTGTGAGAAGAAACTGCTCATTTCCCAAAAATATTTTAACAAGGTTAAAATATTTTAAGAATTATGGTATGACGGGTTTAATTCTGACGGTCAGGACTGGTAAATTTAATGATTTGTTTATAAGGGTTAAGATTATAGGAAGAATGATCCAAGGATATAGGGATAAAGCAACAAGATAGTTGCGACGTCTTGTCTTTGTTGGTTTTCTTTATTGGATGGAAAATAATTCCTCAAAAAAAGGAATATATTCTTTTGGACTTTTTATTCAAGCCTGAAGACTGTCAGAAAAATAAATATATGACTACATAAAACTCTATTTTCAGTCTGAAATCTGAAAAAGTTTAAAGGTAGAGGATTCCAAATGAAGTTTTTACTATATTTGGTACAGGGAAAAAACCATCTCTCCGAATTCTTTTTAGCGATGGATAATATAACATATGAGTATAAATAAAATTCTGAGCTGAATTTTTTCCCAATAGCCCTTTCAAGGCGACATTTATGAAAGAACATTGTTCATCGCGATTGGTGGAAGTTCACTATTTTATTTTTTTCTGAATTGAATGTGGCCAGTCAGCAGTTAGAGCGAGTTTAGAGAAGAGATAAACTGCCAGATTTGGCGAAGAATTTAAAAAAATTTCTATCGAAAAATAAAGGGAAAACTTTGTGTCCATATATGGCAAAAAATATAGAAAGGCCTTTTTTTTTGTTCAAAAAAAGGTAGATTTTAGCGCAATAAGTCAGATGATTTACTGGAGCAAAATTTGGGATACTGACCATTTTCCTAGCATTTTGCGCAAAATTACATATAAGAAATATGATTTGAGGTTCAATAGGTTAAGGCCCAACAGGCGCTCAAGGTACACACATTCATCGCAATGGGTGATGTTTCAGTGTCGGATTGGGATTAATTGAACTTGTTTGGTTTTCGAAACATTGGATATAATATATATATATATTGATTTGTTAGATTTAAATCAGAGGAAAGATCATCTTGAGATTTGGAATATGCTCATCATATTACCGTTATATATATATATATATATATATATATATATATATATATATAATTATTTATTTAAAAATATGATTCCAAATCGCGACATAAGAGGTCTCATGTTTCAAAACAAGAGCCGAAAATTTCAATATAATTATTTAAATTAAATTGAGTTAAAGTAAAAATTTCTGTTCCATCTTCAAGCGAAATTTTTTTTGGAATAACGTATTTCTGAAATTTACGTGTTTTTAAAAATTGAAATCAAAATTTCCATGGTAACAGCTAGGGCGAATTGTTTAAATTGGGTAGGCGAGTGTTGGGTGTTAATAATAAGTATCAGTATAGAGTTACTTTCAGATGTCAAGTCAGGGGAAAGGTGGGGTGTAAAATTTGAAACGGAAGATGTATTAAACCATCGTTGTTTGCTTGTCTATGGAGATTTATTTATTTTTTTTATTTTATTTTTTTATGAAAAGGAATTGTGCATATAAAAAAAAAAAAAACTTTCGTAACGTTTGTTTTTTGACGACTTCATAAAGGGTTATCTTTTTTTAGGTATTTAAACTATTTATTTGGGCTATGGATTATGAAGGGTGTTATATTGTATGCATGTTTTTAGTTAATTATTAAAACTATGAATCTGATGATTGGGCTATGGATTAAACAAGTTATTATAAATTTTTTTTTTAGCTAATAGTTCAAACCAAAAATCTGATGATGCCTACAAAAAACAGTTAACTCGTGTCTATTGTTTAATAGATTATTATTATTTAGAAGTTTAATAATGTGCAATTTTTCATGGAGGCATAAAGGGCATGGGTCATCCCAAGTTTTACATGTTCTAGCCTTGTTAATAATTTTCCATTTAACTTTAGGTGTCCTATTTGTTTCCTTCAAATATTAAAAAATATTTAGATAGGGAAGTCTGATTTCTTTTTGTTTATATTATTAAAAGAACACTTATGCTGCCTCCATCTATCTTTAAAATTATTCTTCGTGGACCCAATGTATATCATATTAGTGCTAGGGTTCTCAGTGGATGATATAGTACATTGGTATACCACAGATTTAATGCAGCATTTATTTTCTAATGGGCAGTCTTCTAGGTTTCTACAGTTACATAATTTTTCCCTTTTATTGTTTGATTTAAGTACAGGGTTTTTATTAATACTTTTAGGCATGGGGTTTGTTCAAGATCTTATTATTGTGTTTTTTTTATTATACGTTCAATATATATATATATATATATATATATATATATATTAACAAATGATCAGAGGATATTCTTAGACAAAGAATACCTCTAACGTAGCAGTTACCGTTCAAAGTTACTGGTATAATTCGTATCCCATGAACACACTGGATGCCATTATGGAAGTAGTTACTTTCAGAATTAATCAAAAGAACATCTATTGATAAAACCAAAAAAATATATTCCAAACAGAGGAATATTAGTAACCTTCTGTCCATGTTTTTAAGTCATTGCCAACCACCTACCTCCAGGAGATCAGAAAATAATTGGCCTGTTGTAAGAAACACCTTTTCGGCCTCTGCTTCACGAGGCATATAAATCCGAATGAAGCGAAACGTTTTCTTATTGATGCTAAGATTCAGCGCCCCCCCAGCTGCCACGCAGATCTGTAAATAATCAATTTATGAGCCACAAGCTTCAGTTTAGTGAATATCGAAATATATTGAGTAGAGTTTGAATCTCTTTGTTACCATACCCTCATAATGACTTACAATATAATAGATTTCTTGCATACAAATTTGTTTATCACTGTACCGCTAGTCTTTCAACAAGACTAGTAGAATCTGACCTGTGACCTAGGCTAATCAACTCAGCTATCACGAATGGCGATTGCTTCATTGATGTTAAGAAAATCATACCGTGTTTTTCAAATACTAATAACCAAATTTTTCGGGAAAAATTAAACCGGAAATATGTAAAAGAAAATGAAAGCCTACTTGCAATGCATTAAAAGCCGGCTTTATATGAGAAGAAAAAATACGAAGGGAGATATGGAAAGACTATCGAATGCTTTTTAACGAATGGATAACAAAACAATGAGAGATATGGATTATGCAACGGCAAAAGAATGAGAACATCCTGAAAGGATATAGCATAGACTGTGAAAACGACACTTGTATTTTTTCTTGCCAGTGAACTTCGATATAATCCGGGATTGATACAAACGATAATTGCTAATTTAGTATTCTTATATATAATAGGACTTTCTTGACATAGTAGATGTTATGGCATTCTTTACCACAGCTGATGTAGTTACGAAAGAATTACACTGCTGGATAACTGAATTTGGAAGGATACTTTCCCGGGACCAGATAAGATAATAGCTCATATTACCTAAGTATAATACATGTCTCTTTCCAAAGAGAATTGCTGATAGCCTCTGGCTATTGTCATCTAAATATTAGTGAGCGAAGTATTCCATCTGATTATCAGATCGAACGTCTATGAAACATGTTTAAAAGAATGTCAGTCAATATTTCCACAAATGAAACGAAATACATGGACAAATGATTTTCCAAAACCTAGGAAGTTATGTCGTATCATCTCTCGTTCTGGACTTAACTATCAACACTTTCGACTGAAGAGGTTTGATAGCCAAGGAGATAAACATTTCGGCAGTAGGTGCGATTTAAGAGCAAAAGACGCATTCCAAAATCAAATAAAAGTATGAATAAGATAATTCCGTATCATTCTATATTTCTGAGATGAGGTATTATGTACATTATTCGGACTATTGTCCTCATCTATGACGCCATATTAATCACAACATTTCGACCTTCGAACGCACCGGTCTTCTTCAGGTGGCTGGAATGCCGAACTGAACTCTTTATTTCGCTCGCTGCTTTAACCAGGTATTGGACTCACACTCGCCCTGTCACTGGATCTAACTAAGGCCTGTGCCTTGAGGGCACCTGCGTACGATTTTTTGGGTATTAGAGACCTAATGTCTTCAGTAACCTATTTTTTTACCAGTGCTCATATTACAATTTTTATATGTTATCATTTCATTTTTTATCAGAGCTCATATTGCAATTTTTCTTGTTATTATCGCTTTTCTCTGGGACTCTTTATTACTGGTTCCTATATTGTATTCATTTCTATGCTTGGTCGGCTCAGGAGGTTTTTGTGGCCTAGTATATGTGCTGATTCCTTAAGTTTACGAATTTGCCAATGATTTTCTTTGTCTATGATCTCAACCTGATTCCACAGAGGGCAGTGATTTCCCTTCAATCTCCATATGTTGTCAGCCACGCCTGATGTTTCCACTAGTTACAGCTTTCTGGTGTACATGACGCCTTACATTAAGGGGACGGCCTGTCTTCCCTTTATATTTCATTCCGAAGCTGCACGGGATAGCGTACACGCAGTCTTTAGTCATGTTCTCCTCTATGGGGTGGGGGTCTTACTCGGGAGAGATACCTGCGAAATGTCTTCCGGCTTTTGA